GCGCCACTCCCTCTGTTTGCGAATGCAAGGAGAGGAAATCAGTGAAAAGAATTAATCTTAGATTTTTAAATGTCATTGAATTTTTCCAGTGTGTGTTGATTCTGCAACTTAGAAACTGGAACTTTTTGAGTCCCATAGTTCCTTTGAATTTGATTGCTTCATTGTCTTTTGTCAATTAAAAAAAAATGCTTACAAAAACACAGGTATTCTTTGAAGTTCTCACTTGAGATTTTTGGTTTGTGGATTCACATGACTTTTCGGGGATTAATGCCAGAAGGAGCTTGGCCGAGTCAGTCCAAGTTAGAGTGGCTGTGGCTGGGGCTGGGGCTTGGAACTTGAGCTAAGCGTCCTCGACCTCAGACATTGTGTTCATTCTCCCTGCGAGGGGGAATGGTCAGGGTGCGTGGAATTCACTCTCATTCTTCGGCTTCCTTTAGAATTGTCTTGTCATTAATTTATTTTTAAATACATGATTGTTCCAAGACCTTGATCATTAAACATAGCTAAAATTATCATAAAATGTCATTTGAAACATTTCAAGTAATATCTACTGAGATAGATAGCGTTTATATGCTGTCAAATACTGATGCAAGCTTTTACGTATACGTTATTTGTAATCCTATAATCCTATGAGAGTAGCTGTTTTTAATCCCAGTTTCGTAATAAGGAAATGGAGGTACGGAGAGGCTAGTTAGTCCAAGTGCACAGAGCCAGATTTCAGCACGTACTCAGAGAAGATGATAAATCTTCATGCATTTACAACTAATGGTATTTGGTCCATTGTCCAGGATTTCAGGGCCTATGGGCCAGAAAGGGTGATGGTGATAATCTGATATTAGAGATTTGCTATTTTAAAAAAAACACCCCAAAGCTCCCAGTGTTTTCAGAGTTTGTCTTTCAATCAAATCAGATTCAAACTTCCTGTATGCAAACTGGAACAGTGCACAGTGACCACTTGCTGTGTTGTCAGTGTCTTGAAACATGGAGATTTTGAATCACTACTATATTGGTGTCTTAGAACTAAACTAAGAGGATGCACTAGTATGTTTTTATAATGAGTATCACGAGGTTAAGCATTATGACGAGTCCTTAGAACATGTTCTACCTTTGAACTCTATTCCTAGGGAGACAAGACCATCAGTACGATTAGATCAGAGTTCAGAGAAACCACTTGGGAAAGGTGGGCTTTGCCTTTCGGGTGGAATTTGGAACCAAGGGGAAGCATTTCTGGTGGAGATACAACATGGGAGGAGCAAGGGAATCCTGAACTTGGTCTTGGCTCTGTATTGGTCATCCATATGGATGGGAATCAATTTCTCCCAAACTCCTATTTATGTTAATATTTTGACTTCTTCCCATGAGTCACACGTGTTCTTACTGGCATCTAGAATGGTGAATCCTTTCCAGAGGATTTTCATTGACTTTGCCCAGATCCATCAGAGGAATCACTGTCTATGGCAGCTACAGCCTTACAAAATGTACTTCTTAAATATTAAGACTTGGAAGTTGAAATGACTCCTTGATCCATGGGTTGCAGAATGAATGTTGTGTTAGCCGAATTGAAAACCTTAATCTCACTGTGCATCTCCATAAGAGCTTTGGGTGACCAGGTCCATTGTCAGTGAGCAGTAATATTTTGAAAAGAATCTTCTAATTTTTTTTTTTTTTAGCAGTCGGTCTCAAAAGTGATCTTAAATATTCAGTAAACCATTTTGTAGATAGCTGTGCTATCACTCAGGCTTTGTTTTTCCATTTACAGAGCTCAGGAAGAGTAGATTTAGCATAATTCTGAAAGGCCCTAGCTGGGATTTTCCGAATGGTAACCAGCTTCATCAGCCCCTCACAAGAGAGGCAGCCTGTCCTTTGAAGCTTTGAAGTCAGGCGCACTGACTTCTGTCTAGCTATGGAAGCCCGAGATGGCATCTTCTTGCAAGAGGGCTGTTTCATCTACACTGAAAATCTGTTGTGTGGTCACCTTCATGAATCATCTGAGCTAGATCTTCTGGAAAACTGTCAGCTTCTCCATCAACACCTGCTGCTTCATCTTGCACTTTTATGTAATGGAGATGGCTTCTTTCCTTAAACCTCAGAACCAGCCAACCTCTGCTAGCTTTTGCCTTCTCTTTGGCAGGTTTCTCACTTCTCTCAGTCTTCACAGAAGTGAAGAGAGTTACAGTCTTGCCCTGGATTCAGCTTATACTGGCTTAAGGGAATGCTGTGGTGGGTTTGATCTTCTGTCCAAATCACTCAAACTTTCTATCAGCAGTAAGGCCGTTCCACTTTCTTATAGCTCCTGTATTTACTGTCATTTCCTTCGAGAACTTTGTCCTTGCATTCACAACTTGGCTGTGTGGCCCAAGAGGCCTTGTTTTTGGCCCATCTTGGCTTTTAACATGCCTTCCTGACCAAGCTTCATTATTTCTACCCTTTGAGTTAAAGTGAGAAACCTAGACCCTTCCCTTCACCTGAACACTTAGGCCTATTAATAATCCTACAGTGGCCTCTACTTTCACATTTGTTGTGGGTCAGGAAGTAGGGAAGCCCGAGGAGGGGAGAGAGTGGCTAGTCAGTGGAGCAATGAGAAGACACACATTTAATAAGTTGCTGTCATAGGTAGGTGTTATTCATGGCACCCCAAAACCATTATAACAGTAAGCTCAGAGATCACAGTTCACCAAAACAAATACAGTAACTACAAAGTCTGACCTATGAGAATTACCAAAATCATGAGACACACAAGATGAGCGAATACTTTTGGGAAAATGGTGCCAATAGACTTGCTTAATGCAGAGCTGCCACAGACCTTTGGTTGGTTAAAAACAAACCTGCAAAGCATGAAAAGATGAGATATGCCTGTACACATCTTCTTTATCCATTCATCTCTTGAGGGACACTTAGGTTGCTTCTATAGCTTAGCAAATTATAAATAATGCTGCAGTGATTAGAGAGATACATATATTGTTTTGAATTAGTGGTTTTGTGTTCTTTGGTAATTCTAGTAGGAGAATTACTGGATCATATGGTATTAATATTTTTCACTTTTTGAGCGGACCCCATGCTGTTTTTCATAGTGGCTGCACCAATTTACATTCCCACCAGCAGTGCACAAGGGTTGCCTTTCCTCTACATCCTGACCGGCGCTTATTGTTTTTTTGATGATAGGCGTGCTGACTGTTGGGAGGTGATAGCTTATTGTGGCTGATTTGCATTTCCCTGATGAGTGATGTTGAGCATCTTTTCATGTGTCTGTTGGCCATTTGTATGTCTCCTTTATTAGACTGTCTATTCAGGTCCTCTAACCATTTTTAATTCGGATTGGTTTTTGTTTCCTTGGTCGAGGTGAAGTGAATGAGTTCTTTATATAATGTCAATATTAACCCTTTATCAGGTATGTAACTTGTAAATATCTTCTCCCATTCAGTAGTTTGCCTTTTTGTTTCATTGGCTTCCTTTGTTGTGTAAAATCTGCTTAGTCTGATATAGTTCTATTTGCTTTTGCTTTTGTTGCCCTTGCCTGGGAGCAGAAACTCAGACCAAATGTGCAAGAGCTTTCTGCCTATATTTTCCTCTAGTTTTATAGTTTCAGTTCTCACATTCATGTCTTCAGTCCACTTTGATTTTATTTTTATATATGGTGTAAGAAGTGGTCCAGTTTTCTTCTTTTCCATGTAGCTCTCTAGTTTCTCGGCACCATTTATTTAAGACTTCGTTTTTTCTTAAAGACTTTATTTGAGAGAGACAGATAGAGGGAGGTAGAGGGAGAGAGAATCTGAAGCACACCGTGTGCTAAGTAGAGCCCAACATGGGGCTCAATCCCAAGATCCCATGCTCATGACCTGAGCGGAAACCAAGAGTGGACACTTAACCAGCTGAGCCACCCAGATGCCCCTTTAAGAGACTGTCTTTTTTCCCATTGTATGTTCTTGCTATCTTTGTCAAAGATTATTTGATTGTGGGCTTCCTGTTTTGTTTCATTAATCTGTTTTTGTGCCAGTACCATGCTGATTATTATTGCTTTGGAATAGCAACATAGTTTGGAATCGGGAAGCATGATACATCTAGCTTCGTTCTTCTCAAGGTGGCTTTGGCTATTTGGAGTCTTGTGTGGTTCCATACAAATTTTAGGATTCTTTGTTCTAGTTCTGTGAAAAATGCCATTGGTATTTTGATAGGGATGACACTGAATCTGTCGATTGATAGTTTAGGCAGGATGGGCATTTTAACAATACTAAACCTCCAATCCGTGATCATGGTATATCTTTCCGTAAAGGTTTTATTTTTTTAAATGTGAGAGTTGAAGTCCTATATAAGAAGTAATAAATCTGGCGGCTCCTGGGTGGCTCAGTTGGGTGAGCTGTGCCTTCAGCTCAGGTTTTGAACTCAGGGTCCTGAGATTGAGCCCCATATTGGGTTCCCTCCTCAGTGGAGAGTCTGCCGCTCCCTCTCCATGTGTCCCCTCCACAACCCCTTCATCTTTTCTCTCTAATAAATAAAATCTTTTTTTTTTTTTTTTGAAAGACTTTATTTGACAGAAAGTGAGAGGAAGCATAAACAGGGGGAGAAGCAGAGGGAGAAGCAGGCTCCCTGCAGGGAGCCAGATGTGGGATGTGATCTCAGGACATGGGGATCATGACCTGAGCTGAGCCAAAGGCAGCAGTTTAACCCACTGAGCCACCCAGCCTCTATAATAAATAACATCTTTTTAAAAAAGTGGAAATCCAGGGGTACCTGGGTGGCTCAGTGGGTTAAAGCCTCTGCCTTCAGCTCGGGTCATGATCCCGGAGTCCTGGGATCGAGCCCCACATTGGGCTCCTCTGCTCAGCGGGGAGCCTGCTTCCCTTCCTCTCTCTCTCTCTGCCTGCCTCTCTGCCTACCTGTGATCTCTGTCAGATAAATAAAATCTTTAAAAAAAAGTGGAAATCCATATGTAGATGAATTTGTATGACCAAGTAAAACTCTACTCTGAATTAAATAAGAAAGTGCATTAGAAAAATTAAATATGAATTTCAAATATTTTATTAAGGAAAAACAACTAATTCTTGGATTTCAAAAACCTTTAAAAACACTATAAAACTTTTATAAAAAACAAAATACAAGTTAAATGAACCAGATATTTTGAGAGTAACCTTGTGATTTACTATAAAAATCAAGTATTACAAATCCTTGTGGATTTTTATAGTAACTCCCTGAGGATTTCATTTCACATTATCAAAACCCTTTCACCATGTCTAATACCAATATGAACTATTCTTTAAAGTTCTCACTAAACCTTTAAGACTACAAATCACTTTATCATAAATTTCAACCTAGTGGTATTTATTTATATAAAAAGATGGAAAATCTGTTTTGAATATGGATACATAAAACAAAATAGTCCCTATCATTTAGATTTTGGAAAGAAATGCAGCTTTTTAGTTAGCATTGAGGCAAAGCAGGGAACCTGCTTCTTTCCAATTGCATTTGGGTCTTTGCAAAAGTCCACTCGGCGCTGAGAGACTTTCCTGTTCACCAGAGTGAGGAGTTCCGTGAACTCCAAGGAGGAGCCGAATTTCCCCAGCATCTCACACAAATCTTGAATGTACCATGAGCCATTCAGAGTTTCCCGATGAGAATAATAGCCTAAAAGGAAGGAAAAGGACACTGAAGTATTTTTGGCTTTTGGTTACTTCGAGTTTATAATGCACCCCTACAGAAACAGAAGTTCTCAACAATTCTTAAAGACTTAAGATATGTCCATTTCAAAACTTTTCTCTGTTGACTAGTGTCATATGGGAAAGGGATTGTTTTATATAGTTTTATAAAAATGGGGTTAGTTCTAAGTAGTTTCCTTCGTTTCCTGAAAAGTCCCAAGACCACAGTAGCCAGGCAGTGATTGTGACAAGAGACTGGAAAGAAAAACAGTTTGCTGCCCTAGCAAGGAACAGCAAGCATCTAAGTGTTTTCAGCAGCGCTTTCCACAAATACCACTATGACACCATCATGATAACAGGCAGCTAATATTCAATATAACTTGTAAGCTGCCACGGTTCTCAGGAATGATTTTTCTGTAAGTCACTCTACACTTGAGATCACCCTGTGCCATGTGATCAAAGAAATCTGTTCTTCTGTTCTAAGACTGTGAGCGCCAGGATCAAATCACTGCGGCCCACTTCTGGTTGGTAGTGAACAGCCACCCACCTTCTGCCACAGAGTAGCACATGAGGAAGTCAGCCCCAGCGGGCAGCGTGTGCACGGAGGCTGCATCCACCTGGGTGACGTTGGCCTCCGGTGCATCGGTCCGATGATCCACTACGTCCAGAGGAATGACTGGCACGTCATGCTGGTCTCCCCGACACGCCTAGGAGAAAAAGCACTCTCTGGTCTTTACCTAAGCTCTCCTTCCCAGTGCTTCAGGCTTACAGTCAATGTGTCCTTTTGGACACCATCATGTCAGCAGCAACAGAAGCCGCTTTATAGGTATGTCAGAAACCACGCCATCGAGTTTCGGAGCATACAAAGCTGACTGGTTTTCCCTACTTAGGTTTTCTTCTAATTAGGGTTTTCAAAAAATTGGCATCTTCAACTATACACCAAATTGTGTTGATTGAAAGGTATGCTCTGGAGAAAGCCTCTGTGCTTTTAAAGTTTCTAATGGATCAGCCACACTGCAGGACCAAAGATGCACCCCTTCTTCTAAAAACTGTGGTCTTTGCCTAGTGTTTCTATTCAATCAGGGAATATATGCCCAGACTGGGTTGTGCTTACCCAGCTGCTGCCATAAATTGTCAAAAGGACACCACGTGACCCAAGAAGATATCTTTTACTGTGCCCTTTTATTTTCGCTCATACTTTAGAGTGAAGTCTCAAATTCTTACCTGCTAATCCTGACTCATAGATGGGCTGACATTAATTTCTACTCTTAAATGACTATTATGGCTGAATGTTGTCCCCCCCCCATTTATATATAGAAGTCCTAACCCTCAGTATCTCAAAAGTGACTGTATTTGGAGATATGGTAAGACGAGGTCTGTTATGATTTTAATCTACCATAATTGGTGTCTTAGATTAGGGCACAGAGGAGACCATGTGAAGGCAAAGGGACAAGACAGCCACGTCCAAGCCAAGGAGAACTGATACCCTGATCTCAGACTGCTAACCTCCGGAACTGTAAGAAAATGAATTTCTGTTGTTTAAGCCACCCAGGCTGTGTACTTTGTTCTGGTGGGCCTAGTACACTTAATACAGTGACCTAAGAAGATCTGACAGTGCATTTTAAATGCATCTCTCATTCTGAAATGCTTAATGAGTTACAAGCTATCTATTTATTTATTGTGCAAATAATAATAGGGCAAGAGCTGCCAAGACTTATAAGCTTTGAAAGAAAAAGTTGTGAGTGATTTCAGTTAAAGAGAAGATCCCTAATATTCCATTTCTACAGGGAGATTTTAATCTTATTTCCTATTCCCAGGCTTCTTTTCAGCACTTATTTTCCACTGTCTTCCTATCTAGCCTATAACACCCCTAGAATGTGCTGCTCTCACCCGCCAGCTCAGAGGCAGTGAGCTGGAGAGTGAGCCTTTACAGAGGGCTGGCGCGTGCTGGACACTGTTCCCAGTGTGCTCGTCTGTTAGGTCGCCCATCCTCCCAGCGACATCATGAGGCGGTGCTATTTTATCTCCTTTCACAGATGAAGAATCGGGAGGCACAGAGAAGTAACCTGGCGAAACATTTTCCTCCTTTGTGGCACTCACCGCATAGCAGCCTGCTAGTTATTTTGAATTCTGTTGTCTCTGACAGCCCTAGTCACTCCCCTTTTCACGAAGCAATCATGTCATTATTTTCCCTGATTTTTCCCGTTCGCTGGGCTGTCTTCCTTAGCATCTTTCCTCTGCTCACTGCTGTCCCTCAGTTCTGTTTTGCACTCACTTTTCAAGCTATACTTGATATGGGTAAACTCATCTACGCCCATGGCTGCCATTACCATTCACCTCCTCCTCACTCTGAAATGTACTTCTCCAACACAGGCTGCCTTTCTTAAGTTCTAGAACTATAACTCTGCCCATGTGTGACAGATACTCCAAGGCAGCTGTCCCAACAGGAAACCATGGATCATCCTCAACTTCCCAGAGACCCCCCTGCCCCCTCCCCTCAAGGCTTGGTGGCAGCTGGAATGTGGCCATGCCCCCATGCTGTTCATGGAAATACAGAACTGGAGCACGAGAACACTGTTCGGATTCCTTACTGATATGCCAGATGAGATCCTTCAGGCCCAGACACATCTTATCCCTAATACCAGTGTGGTGGAGGGGAAAGGTGACAGGGTGAAGTAAACTAGGACCAGAACTCGCCCACAGTCTGCCCACTGGCCTCCCTGCACAGCGCTCTAACACCAGAGAGCCTTCCTCGGGGAGCTCCAGCTGACGCCGGGCTGGACTGTGGCACATTGGTTATTTTAAGTCCTTTCAAATGTCAGTCTGATAAACTGAAAATCTTTATCATTTATTCCTTGTTAAGAAGGAATTACTACTAATGGGAATTACTATTAATTGTAACTCTGATTGGCTGGGAAGCCAAAAGGGCCTTTCCAATTATTGGAGAGTTACTTTCAAAATTGGCTTTAATTCTTTATAATCACATGTACAAAACCATGGACTTTACAATTAAGACTGTATAAAATCAGTCACCTGGGTGGCTCAGATGGTTAAGCGTCTGCCTTCAGCTCAGGTCATGATCCTAGGGTCCTGGGATTAAGCCCTGCATTGGGCTTCATTTTTTTTTTTTTTTTTTTAAATATTATTTATTTATTTATTTGACAGACAGAGATCACAAGTAGGCAGAGAGGCAGGCAGAGAGAGAGAGAGAGGAGGAAGCAGGCTCCCCGCCGAGCAGAAAGCCCCATGTGGGGCTCGATCCCAGGACCCTGGGATCATGACCTGAGCCAAAGGCAGAGGCCTCAACCCACTGAGCCACCCAGGCGCCCCTCGCATTGGGCTTCTTGCTCAACCTCTGTTGAGCCTGCTTCTCCCTCTGCCTCTGTTTCTGTCTCTCATGAAAAAAATAAATCTTCAAAAAAATTATAACAAAATCAGTCTTACCTGAATGATAAATATCTTGGGTTTTCCAACTAGGCTTTGACATTTGTCTCCTTTGAATAAGCCAGTCAGTGTCTGAATTTCAATTTTGGCATCATATGCGTAAATGTGATTGCCTTCACCATGACTCAGGAAAACACATAAAAAGCAGTCGGCATCCGTGTGGCTAGAGGTTGACGCTATAAAGGCAGCCAGTAGTTCACAAAGAAATGAAGATGTTTATTATGTACCTATAAAAATTCAATCTAATACAAGAATAAAGTTAGAGATGGAGGAGGAAAATTTTATTTATTTATTTTTAAAAGATTTTATTTATTTGACAGAGATCTCAAGTAGATGGAGAGGCAGGCAGAGAGAGAGGAGGAAGCAGGCTACCCGCTGAGCAGAGATCTGATGTGGGGCTCGATCCCAGGACCCTGGGACCATGACCTGAGCCGAAGGCAGAGGCTTTAACCCACTGAGCCACCCAGGCGCCCTGGAAAATTTATTTTAATAACTGTAAAAAGGATGTAATGAAATACAACCTAGTCTTTAATCAAACATAATAATTTATATCATACGGTCTCTGATTTTTAAAAACCAACTAAAAGTTTGGAGAGTTTAAAAACAAATTTCATTAGCTTTTCTGCAACAAAGAGTAATGACATGAAAAACATACTGGGAGGACTGTGGCGACAAAATATATGTCTCGGAGCAGAGAGCTGAGGGTGGCCTGGAAAGGCCTTGCAGACACTTTGGCCAATAGCTCTGTGTGGCTGCGCCTCTAGGGAGTGCGCCGGCTTCGCTCCCTGTCTGCAGCACTGACGGTGAGCAAAGCCGAACACCCGCAGGTCAAAGAGGTCTGGTACAGGGGTGTCTCAAAAAATTAAAAATAGAAATACCATCTGATCCAGCCATTCCACTTCTGGAATTTACTGATGAAAAACCTAATTTGGAAAGAGACACCTGCATCCCCCAAGTTTCCTGAAGCACAACGGCTAAGACGTGCAAACAACCCAAGTGTCCATAAGTGAATGAAGGAAGGAAGAAAATGGGATATAGGTATCCGGATATATAGACACACACACACACACACACACCAGAGTATTATTCAGCCATAAAAAAGGAAATCCTGGCCTTTGCAATAACAAGGGTGGATTTGAAGGGTGTTATGCTGAAAGAAAGAAATCCAAGACAAACAAAATACCATATGATCTCACTTACAGGTGGAATCTAAAAAAAAAAAAAAAAAACCAAAGCTACAGAAAGAGAAGAGACTGGTGGTTGCTGGCAGGTGAGGTACAGTGGGTGAAAGGGTACAGACTTCCAATTATAAATCATGGGGATATAATGTGCAGCATAGGCCCTATAATACTACTATATATCTGAAAGTCTGAAAGTGGCTACGTAAATTTTTAAAATGTAATTTGTAATTTTGTACGGTGACAGATGGTGAGAAGACACAGGTGACCATTTTACAATGTATACAAATATTGAATCATGCTATACACCTGAAACTGATGTTATATATTACACTTAATTTTTAAAAAGCCCTGCAGTTTAAATACATAAATACTGTAATAGTCCATTGCAAATAACTTGAAAATCCATGGCATGCAGTAATTACAATAAATGTAAGTTAGATTACCTACTGTGCAGTGATATAGAAGTTTAGAGATAGTATATGTAAATCCACAATTAAAAAATCCACAATATTTTGAAGCCAGTAAAACACTTGGGTATGGAAGGAGTCAGCTGAAACATGACAGCCCAGCATCTGTAGTGTTTGCATTGACTTTTTTTTTTTTTTTTTAAGATTTTTATTTATTTATTTGAGAGAGAGACAGTGAGAGAGAGCATGAGCAAGGAGAAGGTCAGAGGGAGAAGCAGACTCCCCATGGAGCTGGGAGCCCGATGCGGGACTCGATCCCGGGACCCCGGGACCATGACCTGAGCTGAAGGCAGTCGTCCAACCAACTGAGCCACCCAGGCGTCCCTTGCATTGACTTTTAATTGCCAAATGAGAAGGTCATTTCCTTCATTTCTAGAATAACAGACTGTAATGAGTGGATGCTAAACATAAACTTTGGAGGCATAATACTTTGCAAGAGTTTCGAATCTGGTGGGTAACATCCAAGCAGAGAGGCACACCAAACCTGTAACCCACGCTAAATTAGTTGGTAAGACTTTTTAATAACACAGTTAATTATCTGGATGCCTTTATAGATAGGATACTCCATTCCCCTAGAAGATAAATAGGAAAACTACTTACCCTCATGAATTTTGAGTAGTAGTTCTTCTGCTTTAAGATCATTAAAGCATTTCACTTCAAATCCTAGTTCTGAAAACCTGGTGATAAACTGGGTATTAGCGTAGGAGCTATTCACAGTGGTCAGATACCTGCATTTACTTGGAACACATACATCTATACAAGTTTTTATGACCTACAGATTGACCTTCAGGAGGAAAGAAAAAATGAAATATGAATGAACTACAACAATGATGGTTTTCCTTAAGCACCCACAGTTGGGAAGGATTTACTCATAACTGATTCCAGTCAGAATGTTGCCGTCTGCTGTGCAACTATGTAATGATGCAGAGTCCATTAACATTTAACAGAACAAGGTGAGGAAGGAAATTCAGGCAAGTTCTCAAGGGACCTGTGCCTTCATGAGGCACAGCCTCAGGCACTCTTGCTCGGTAATTTCCTCAGTGTGGACAAGTTTTGGTAAGTATCACTTAACTATCCCGTCCTCCTGACACTTAGATAAAACCAGTACCTGCGTGTAAGATTGTCTCTGTCTGCGCTGGTGCCCCGCCGTTCTGGCAACATTAAATGCCAGAAGAACCTCTCGTGGTTGAAGATTAAAGCAGTTCCTCTCCTCTTGTGGTCCATTTTGTACTTTTCTGCCGGATCAAATACTTCACTGTTAAGGAAAAATTTAAACAATAATCACTTTAAGTCATATTAAATAATGAGCTCCTCCAAGCCCAATATCAACGTGGAGGGTAGATAGAGGTCTGCTGTCTGCGCCTCCCGTGCTAGGCTGACATGCTTCTGGTGTGCACTGGGCAAGCCTCACTGCTGTTCTGGTAAGGATAACCCTGAAATGTTTCTGTACTGATGGGTAAACAGCAGCCATCCTCAGCACCCTGACCCCCAGTCCTTCCAGGAACATCTTTTCTCCACGATCCAGGAACCAGGGACAACAGCATGCGCAGGCCCCAGCTATGGTTCCAGCGCCCACGCCACACCAGTTACTAGATGTTTTGAACATCACTGTAGGTCCTGAAAAGACCAGAGGCAGCAGCCAACCCACAGGTCGACTAGCCCCCGGTCCCAACACTAACACTCGCCGTTCTCGGCTCTACTTGCTCCCAGGTGCCCTTCTTGCTTCTTGTAGACTGATCACAGTCAGCAAAGGAAGAGGCCTTCATTACGAAAGTGCACATTTTTACCTCTTACGGAAGGCGTCCATTTCTGTCACATTTTGTTCCTCACCTTTAAAAAAAAAAAGTTGAATTCTATTAATTTGCTGTTTGACTTGTGGTAAAAACACAGTAGTCCTCCCACACTGTAAATCCTTCTAGTTTTGCTTGGTTTAAAAGGCAAGTATGAAAAGGGGAAATAGGAAGGGAAACTGCTTCATAATAAATGACTAGAAATTAACAGCTCAATTCTTTCTCACCCTGAACTCTTACTGGCAAAATAGGAAAGAGTATTATCAAGAGAAATGGAGAAAACATTATACAAATACATTCACTGCAAAATATACCTATGGTGACACGGTTCTGATTATGGACCAACACATACAAAATACAGAATTGTTCTGCAGAAAATGTTTTTGCAGATAGTCCCTATAACCGAGAAGCAATTAAAAGCAGAGGAAAACTGAAACAATGTGTGGATAATACTGGATTACCCTATGGGCTGGAAGAGGTAGAAGTCTGGAGAAGGGAAAGGCCAAGGGCAAAGGCTTAAATTTTGGATCTCCCAAATGAAACACATGCATTTACAACCCACCCAACATGGGGACCCTATGTCCCCAACCTGCGACCAGACTTCCCCACCCCCTAGGCTGCCCTTCACTGGATCCTCCTCTACTCCTTAGAGCAGTGTTGTGCAACGGAACTCTCTCTGCTGATGGACTCCTTCTGCACCTGTGCTGTCCTATATGCTAGCCACGGGCCACAGGTGGCTGCAGAGCACTTGAAATGGGGCTTGTGCAGCTAAGGAACTCAATTTTTAATTCATTTTCAATAACCACACATAGCCAGTAGCTTCTGTACTGGACAGCACAGTCTAGCATCTCTTACAATAAAGGCCCAGGCACCCATGACTGTTTTTACCTCATAAACTTAACAGCCCGAGGGGAGAGAAAGTAAGGAATAAACAAATATTAATGGTATTATAAGATGCTCTCTCCCTTGAGGTCACTGAGGATAGCACAACAGACCCTCCCACCCATCACCTTGGAACCAGGAGGCTCCCGTTTCCTTCTGTCCCTGACACCTGATTGTTCTAGCCTCACATCCCCTCCTCGCTGACAGCAATTTGCTCTGGGAGGGGGAGGCTGGAATTCAATTCCATGCCCTTCACCGTCGCTTTTGGGGCCTATTCCTCCCGGAATCCACCCGGCATCCACATCCAGCCAGGACCCCACGAAGGCCCTCTGCTGTCCAGTAGACCCTAAATCAGTTTTTCTCAACCTTGGTATCGGTTCCTGGTGTGGGTGATAAAATGTCCATTCCTGGATCCTAACCCAGATTTGCAGAATCAGAATCCCAGGGGAAGGGGAATCTGCATTTTTCACAAGGTGATTTTTATACCGAGGAGTCAAGGGCAGCCTCCCTAATGCATCCTCCCGGATCTCCCAAGGTTTCCTTCCTGCCCCATGCACTGCTCTCTCTGCACACCTCCTAAAGCCAGCCTGCTCTAGGGGACCCCTCCTCCAAACCCTGCTCTTCCGGTGATCCGCTGTCCCCCACACACTGCTCTACCAAGTTACCTTGCACCTCATAACGCTGTTTTACTAAAATGCCATTTACACATTTATCGACCGGGGACATCTCCTACTCCACATACCACCCTAGGAGGAACCCGGTCTACTCTTCTTACTCCACGAACTACTCCACCCAGAACACTTCCTACTCCACACCCTGCTCTGCCAACGCTACTTCCTTCTCCACGCGCTTTGCTCCCGGGGATACTTCCCCTTCCGCAAGCTGCTCACCTGAGGCTACATCCTACTCTTCCTACTCCACAAACTGCTTTACGCGGAAACTTCACCACCACACAGTGCTCTGAAGAGGACAGTACACAATTCATGCTACCCAGGATACTGTCTCCACGTTCTGCTCTACATGGGATCCTTGTACCCCACACCCTGGCCTCTGGGAAACACTCCCTACCCAAGATACAGGACCCTTCCCAGCAGCCACTGCTGCACCCGGGCACACCTGCTTCCCTTGGAGACCTGCTTCACTCACCGCTCTACCAAATACACCTCCTGCTCCGCACGCCCCTGTGACCGTACCTGTTGCTCCAGACACTGCTCTACCGGGGAGTACTTCCTACTCAGACTCTGCCCTACTGGGGGACGCTGCTCTTTGAACACACTGCTTCACAGGGATAGTTTCTACCCCACACACCGCTCTCCCAGAGATCCCCATGTGGCTTTACAGGGAATCTTCCTCATAGGACAGTGCACTATATGGGATACTAACCTGGCACACACCTCTCCACTAGTGCACTTTCTACCAGACATTACTTCACCAGGGACAGCTCCTTACCACATACACCATTCTTCTGGGGAGACGTCCTACATCACACAGTTCCACCCAGGAAATCTCTTCCTCCCCACACTGCTCTGTCCTGAATACTTCCTACCGCACACCCCATCTACTGGGATTACTTCCTACTCTCCACGCTGCTCTACTTAGGCAGAGGAATTTTCTCTCCTTCCATTTTCAAAAGTGGTTCAGGATCCACCTCCTTTTAATTACCTCACCTCTCTAAGCCAGTTATATGATAAAGAAAAAAAAAATCTCAAACTAAACACATTCAATCCTTGTGTGAAGGACAGTCCCCTCATTCATCCCCCCACAAACCTGCCCCGTTAGGAAAGCACTTAGCTCCAACATGGCGCACAAAGTAGCAGACCTGGGAGCCCACCTCTTCCGGCCCCTGCTCCACATAGGTTAGTGAGCCCAAGGCAGCTTGAAGCATAGCAGAGGGAAGTGGTGCCAAACGGCCAGTCACCAAACTAACTCAAATCATCGAGGGTGAAAGCACTGGGAGATGTACGCTCGAATGGATCTTCAAAACTAATTTTTTAAAAAATATATAAATGAGAACTGTCCTGGAGTTTCTCTCGGGCTAATATGGGACACAGTTATGTAAATAAATTACATCCACACAAAAGAAAAATACTCATTTTTTATAGTCTGAGGAAGGAATTGCACCAATCCTCCTGGCTAGGTGTACTTTCAGCTGTCCATCTGGATGGTCTCAAACAATGCCCTCAGCTTGGACGTGACCTATAGATTTAGGAAAGATAGCTAGTTTCAGGTCACTCCAGATAACCTAAAATCACATTCAGTTTCGAAGTTAACAGACATGGCAATCTCTGAGGGATTTTTTAAAGGTGTTTTGTTGTTACTGTTAGTATCATGGAGGCGGGGCTGGGGGTGGTAACTGGGCTCTGAGAACTTTAGTTCGGACCCTGGCTAGCTCAGAGCTGGCTCTGATACTAGCAAGCGCCCCGCACCGCGCAGAAGCAGTCAATGGCCAGGTCCGCACGCCATTCTAGTCTGGCAGTTTGTTCCACCAGAACAGAAAGCGATGGACACAGATGTTAAAACCTAAGTTTCCAACACTTTACTGGAGTTGATAAGTTTTACTCAGGTTCCACAGAAAATAGTATTCCGTGACTCTGTTGTGGTCACTCTAGGCTGTATGTCCTCAGCAGACAAGCTTCAGGAAGGGCACACTTTAACAAAGTCATCGTTACACTGCAGGAATACAAATGAACTGTCTAAGAGGGTAGAGCGCTCTGCCATCATGGAAAAAATCAATTTCAATGGAGATACCCTATGTAACATCTATAAATTCCTGTGCATCTGCAATCTATTCATCAAAAATGGGTCCATCATTAAACTTGTCTCTTGACCTCTTTTCACTTCTCCTTGCCTCTGATTTAGGCAATTTTCCTTTTCACCATGATGCACCTACGACCTCTTTGCTCCTTGAAACAGTTTAATTTTTACAAAACGAATCCCACCTTTTTCCTCTTCATCTTAATTGGATAATGCCTCCAGATAATCCTGCCAGCTAGCCTCTATTGATGGCCTGGCACTTTAGACCTTCTTGCCCTCAGCTCCACAGCCCATGACACACAGTGGTCAGGCTTGTCCAAGGACACTCAAGTGGAGCTGGTACTGAAAACCAGGTCTGCCTGGAAACTCCAAAGTCTCTGCAATCTTGTCACCAAACTAAACCCCTCCTACCAGAGACGCCAGTTACCTTCTAAACTAAGTGTTCATTTCCCCAACCTTCTCCATTAACCAGGGTCATCGTCCTCATGCACTGCAGTACCAATCAAACTCCACCCATATTCCCTATCAAGAATCTGTTTAATAATCCTACCTTGAGTAAGCTATGTCAGGGCTAGAACACACTAAAAAGGGGGTGGGGTGGAGAAAAAGGAAGGACGCAGGTAGGAAAAGGAAAGCAATGGGATTTAAAGAATGGAGGGGGAAGTGCCCTGACTAGTGGTTGGCGTCCTGGAGCCCTGCCCCTGCTGCCCACCCCCCACCACGGAACCCAAAATAGGAGTGGCCGCAGGACCCTGCACGGTCCGTCCGAGGCAAGGCCACTCCCTGAACTGCCAAGGTGACGTCCTACAACTTGCCTCAGGGGCAAGCCCGGTTTCTTGCAGCACAGAATAAAAAGCTCTGAAATAAGGTATTCTGCATCAACCACTAGTTTCAACCTTTTCTTCTTCTTCTCCTTCTTTTTTTTTTTAACACTATGGCCAGGCTCGAAGTTTCTAAAGCTATCAGTGATATAATTAGTAACAAGGAAGAAAGTTCTGAAGTCCACGTTTAGCCGTTAATTATTCTGTAGGGAAAGATGTGGCTTCAACTCAAATCCACAAACAGTCGTGGGTGTGGGAGAGACACTGGGGCTGCCCAAACCGCCAAGGCCTAGTTTTTTGGTTTTTTTTTTTTTTAATGGTAAAATTACTCTTTTATTTATGAAAAAATGGACTCTGAGAGAATAAGTAATTTGCCCAATGGCACACAGGAAGTGGTGGGATAGGGGTTCTAATTCCTACATCATCTAATGGCTTCTCCCATCACAGTGCAGTTTGAAATTCTGCTTTTTTGGTTGTGCTGTCTAGAAGTCTGGGATGTTTTGATTCCAGTCATTCTGAAGCCAAGGGTGGACACTCAGTTTTCAAGGACTCGGAGGGGGCAGATCTTGTCTGACATCTCATGCAGGATCACCTGAAGGCCTAGTTTTTGTACCCGAGTCAAGTACGGGCATAAGCAGGGGCTCCTGCCCGGCGCTCCCGCGGGCTGGTTATGCTTCCATTATTACGCATGCAACCACTTCTTACTTTTTACTCAGGAGTAGAAAAAAACCAGACCCAACTTCCGAGAGTCAACTTTCCAAAAGAGCAGAGCAAGCGCAGGGGGGCGCCGGCACAGGCCCCGCCGCCTTCCAGGGTTTAAATGCCCGACGTCCGGAAAGGGATAACCAACCCGCCGGAGGACAAAGGCGGCCCGGGCACGCCCCAGCGCTGGGAGCCGCTACCTCGAGCCGCACCGAGCGACGACGAAGTTCAGGGCTGGTTTTCTAGACCAAAAAACTAATAAGCTGCCCCTGCCGGACTTCAGAGCTTCCTTCCAGGACCCGCAACTCTTGGGGGTCGTCCTGCAGACACAGTGCCCGCCTCCCGGCTCCCGCCCGCCTGCCCCACGGAGGCTGTCCGGCACCTCCTCCCACCCCCTACTCCCGGCCTACCTGCAGGGCGAACCCCGCGGAGTCGCGGCCCGGAGCTCATCGAGGCCCCTAGCGCAGCGCAGATGCCCTGGCGGCCTCCCCTTCCTGCAGCCAGCGGCCGGCCGGCAAACTCCCGCCCCTTCCTCCGCCCCCGCGCCGCTCGCCGCGGGCCCCGGGAGTGGGTGGGAGCCGCGTCCGGGTTCAGAGCTTCTTGCCCGCCGGAGTTCAGGCTCCCGCCCCTCGCTGCGGAGCTCGCGGGGACCAGAGCGCCCGGGGAGGGCCGATGGACGCTGTGTCGTCCGCCCGGCGCTTGGAGACGAGCCCGGCCCTCGGGAAATGCCGGTTGCCACCCCGAGGGCACAGGGCAAGCGGGTGATCGGGAAGCGGCGGGCGATTTCAGAGCACCTGTGGGGAGCCGAGGCTCGCAGTCCCCGCCCCCAGGGCTCGCTCTCCCCTACCGCCTCCAAGGCGGAGGGCGTCGTGTTTTCCTGTTTCGTGAACAGTCCTTCCCCCGCGACAGTTACTTTATTGGACCTGTAATGACTTTAAATGCTCTTGGGATTCGGGACAAAGTAAAACTGGAGGCAACCCTAGGATTTTTAAGTCTGGCTTTCATAGGTATAGTTAATTCGGGGAAGCAATCATGCAGATTTTCGGAGCCTGAACTTTGGAGTCTACAGATGATATTTCTTGAGCCAGAGAGCCTGTTGTCCTCACCCTCAAAAAATACCCAAACCGTGCGTTAATTGGGCGCGGCGGGGCGCTCAAGGTTGCGTTTAACCGAGCTCCGCCTTAGGTGGTGGTGGTTGGCTATTTTGTAAATTTGCTTCAAAGAACAACTCTAAGATCAGATGAAAAGGTGGCTTCTGCTTTTATAACTTCTCTGGTCCTTGTCATTTAAAAAAGTAACCATCTTCAGACTGGGAAAAAAATGTGTTAAGGCATCATTTCTAATACATTAAAGTAAGTATAAGGTATCCGTCTTCTATAAATATTACTATATTGGGGAGAGAAAAACAAAATTTAACGTGGTAACTTTTCCCACGTGTGTTCGGTCATTAACTAGAGTATGAAATCAGGATTTTCCTATTTACTACTGTTCATTTCGCTGTATGCGTAAAATATTTCAGAAATCGATTTTAGCAACTTATTCTGTAGTTAGGACATGAAATCTCATTCTCTGCCTTACAAGGTTTTGCAAGGATTAAGTGAAATGACTACTTAAAACAGTGCATGGCTTTGAAGAGCTCAAACTATTTGTTACCACAATCTTTTAGCTCAAAGGATTGGCCTTTTGGTTTCCCCATTACCTGGCAGGGTTGCTTAGCATGTAGGTGGTGCTCAATAAATATTTATCCATTGAAGGAGATCCAGGATTTCACCATTTGCACTCTGGACTTTATCCAGTTTGAATGTGTTATCTGACCACCAGAACTTCCTGTCCTTTTGCCTAATTTTCAGGGTCTCCTCTACTTGAGTCCTGAAAACACTCCCTCTATAGGAGTGGAACAGCTGACCTTCTACTTTCTGAAAGGAGCAGATGAAAGGAATGTGCTTTACCCCTAAGTATCTTATCATCTCAGAAAATTGTGTTTTTATAGGATATGCATGTGGTTATATTTTAAAGTAGGATTTTGCCTATCTTAAGACATAAGTACAAAGCATTCTGAGATACTTATTTCAAAATTATAAATGTGTAATTTTAGTTTTAAATCAATAGCTATCGCAATAAAATGGGTAAGTGTCTAGGACTGGCAAACAGGTTGCCTAGATTCTAACCTGGCTCCACTATTTTCTTAGCCTTGAAACATTGCACAAATAATGCAACTTAATCTCTCCCAGCTTCAAATTCTTCTCTGTAAAATGGGGACCAAGTTTACTCAAGTTTTGGAGACAGTAACTGCTGAACTTCTAGAACAGTACCTGGCCCATAGCAAGCTTTCAGTACATTATTTTTAGCTACTGAAGACTTCCTAGACCAGTTCCCAAACTGTGGTCTCTGAGCCAGCAGTATCCACATAATCTAGAAACTTGCTAAAAAGGCAAACTCTGGGACCTACAGAATCAGATCTGAATGAGGAGCTGGGGGTAGGGAGAGCGGTGCCCATTAAGTGTTTTTAATGCGGGAATCCAGTGATTCAACTGGATGCTCATGTTTGAAAACCACGGATAGAGACTAATTAGAATCCTACCCATCCTACCTTCTCAAAGAAGAAAAAAAGAACCTAAAGCAAATCCATAAAATTAAGATACCCTAAAGACTGAAAGTTACTTTACAGATGGCTTGAATGTCACTTTCATAGAACTTACTGAAACTGAAGGTCGTAGCTGTCACCTATCCTAGAAGTGAAACATCTGGAATAAAATTCAGAGATAATCTTCAAATTTTAGTCTTTTTTTTTTTTTCCAGTTTACCCCACTAAACCTTCTGGTTTTTCCCTATATAATCACAAAAATACTAGTTTTCTATTGTGATTCCTACACTTAAGAAAAGTTAAAAGCCAACAAAAAAAGGCTTGTAAAGTTATCACCAAGGAGACTTGGATGTTTTGGAAACCTTTAAGCATGAGGCAAAAAAGCCTAATATCACTATGGCTTTTGCCAAAAAGATACTATTGATCGAGTTTTAGTTATTTTTATTAATAACTATTAGTTACTTTTTGTTACACCTCATTCTTGCTTTTATGATTTGAGCAGATGGCTGGTTTTGTAAGGTTAAGCCATGAGGAAAAACAGCAAACTAAAGGGGCTGGCTACTTCAATTATTATAACCAGTCATTATACAAGACCTGAATATACTGCAAGTAATATCTCTGAATTTGAACAATGCAACAAAAGATATGTGGAAGAATCTTACCTAATAGGTTTCATCCTACCTCAAAGTTACTGAAGTCAGTCTACTAAACAGTTGTTTTTATAGAGACTCCATTGTCTTCGTTAGATGTTATTCTTGTTTTGTACCACGATAAAATATTATACATTATGATTTCCTGATAATCTCATACCTTCTACAAATTTTGACAGAAATGCTTTTTCATCTTATGAAAAATTAGTTAGAAGCTAATAAAACTTTTAATTAATATTATTAGTATAGTTTACAGGTTCACTGAAAGAAAGCCTACTCCAGATGTGTTTAATTTGCTTTTGTCCTCACAGTTCAATTCTCCCTTCCTTAGAGCTTCTTGGTGCCTCAGTTTCTCCACCAGTGAAGTGAATACAGCCTTATCTGTTGCGGGAAGAAGTATGTCAAAAGGTTTTAAAGACATAGCATTATTTGAAGGCAATATAGTTTTATTTAAAAATATTAGTATTGTATTTCTTGCAGAGAGCTGCTAAAAGCTAGTTTTGGGATTTTCCTTTTGCTTGTTCTTTTTTTTCTTTATGAATTTATTCTATGGATAGGGAAAATACCATTCTCAAAATCTAAATACATGTTCTGTGGTACATGATTCAAGTGAAAACATCAGTAAGAACTCACGTTCAACTATATATATATATACACACACACGCAAACACACACAGAAATCATTATAGATTGTACATGTACATAGGTTAATACACATACATATTTCCTAGCTCTGTTTGTTGGGAGGGTCTAGCAGCAGTGACACCCCTATAGCAATGAGCACATCCAGCACCCAGATATTGGTTTCTAAGTTCCACTAGAAACCATTCTCTAGTAATAAGAACCGGTGCTCTCTGAAGAAGAGGCTGATTCTAGCACTGGAACTATACAAGACAAGCCCAGAGCAACATTCTTACTTTCTTGCCAGGAAATATGGAAGTGCTCAAAAATCAAAAGGATGGGGACACATTAAAGACAAACAGGAGCCAACCTGACATAAATCCCATTAGCCGAGCTGAAATAATTTAAGCAATAAAATAAACATTACCCAAAGTCTAAAGAAATATACATGAGTCCACACTGATATAAGTAACTGAATAAATGGGAGGGGTGAGAAGACCAATCCTTTTTACAGAAAAATCCCAAGTACTATATAAAGATATTCCCCTTCCAGCAAGTAGAACAGAATCTTGCCACCCTCCACCTCCCACAGACTGACTTGAGGCCTGGCTTCCAAAGAACAGAAGTATGGAAAGGGAAAAAGAGTAACTTCACAGTGGAGAAATCTGACAGACACTACCTTAAGCAAGTTTTCACAGTTGACACACCAAGTTAATAACATTCAACTATTGATATGATTTGATGAGAAAAACGCTTTATGGGTTTTTTCCTTAAATATCCATAACCCCAGTACAGTTATGAGGGAAACATCATTCAAGCCCAAATTGAGGGGCATTCTACAATATACCTGATCAGTACTCCTCAAAACTGTTAAGATATTGAAAAACAAGCCTGTGGAACCATCGCAGACCAGAGGCTTATCAGACATGATGACTAAGTGCAATGTGGTATCCTAGACTGGATCCTGGAAAAGAAAAATGACATTAGTGGAAAAACAATACAATCCAGATGAAGTCTAGAGTTTAGTTAATAGCAAATACCAATGTTGGTTTTTTAACAAATGTTTCATGGTTATGTAAAATGTTAACACTAGGGGTAAGGAGTATATAGCAAGTCTGTATCTTTGCAACTTTTATGTAAATCTAAAATTATTCCAAGATAAAAATCTTAACACATAAAAACAGCTTCCACTGATCTTTGTATATAATTTATAACTATGAATTAAATATTTTAGAGAATTCTGAGTCTGTCCTCTTGAGGAAGCCAATGCTGCCAAGAAAATCCACAAATTTATTCTAAGTTTAAAGTTACCTGGTCAAGTATTTCAACAGTAAATACTGGGAAAGATTAAATATGGATAATGGCTTATAAAACTGTTACCTTTTTAAAAGTCTGAAAGTATCAATTAAGGGTTCCAAACATTTAAGTTAGAATCCAGTTTGCTCAATTAGTCACAGGGATACACTTGCCTTGTCCCATAGACGACACATCTCTCAGCAGAAAAGCTCCATCATCTTAGTTTGGGAAGTTACTAGATTTTTAGCAATGATACCTATTCAAAGTTAGGAATGTGGCCCTTTCCCCAGAGTATATTTTTTTCTCTGCCCCTTTGCCTGTAATGACTTAAAGAGAACCACCTCTCCTGAAGCTGTCCTTTCTGATGTTCTAAGCATTTTATCTTTGTAACTTTGGCTATAGGTTACCCAAAAGCTATCCATGGCTTGGGATCCGAGGCTAGGGAAAGCCAACAATTAATGGTAGGCAAAGAGCACTAGAGGAATACAGCTGCTCTTTCCACAGGAAACTTTGGAAAGGAGAAACTTTCAACTTGCACAGACATTTCCAGAGGCAGCTGAGGTTCTGGAATTTGCTTTTAAACATCTGCTAATAATTTTCAATGTAAATAAAAAAGCTACAAAAGATATTCTTTGTACCTTGCTTTACCATCCCTTTTGATTCCACAGTTAAAGACTTAAAAAAAAAGTATCAAGAACAGTATTTATTAAGACCATTATTAGGAAAAGGTTACAGACTTTTCAAAATAAACCTGAATCTAGTATGAGGACCAAGTACTAGGGAAAAAAACACCAAAGCATAGCAGCATATAATGTTCTAATCTGTATGTGAAGTAATTTTTCAATTGTCTCATTAAATCCATCTTTTCTTCAATTTATGCCAAGGTTATAGCAAAATATGATGTCTGTCCTATGAACGGTTCATAAAATGGGAGTGGCTGTGCTTCTGAATTTTGTTCATGTCACCTTCTAGACACATTACATAATACCTAGATACCCTGGTTTTGCCCCCTAAAAGGCCACCAGTTGATGGTTCCAATTTTGTAAGAAAAAAAGACATGGAAAACTTGTCCTTGCAACTAGTCTTATCATTAACAGAAGTGAAACTTATTCATATGCTTGATGGGCTACAGGAAAACAGCATATTATGTGTTAATTAAAATAGAGAAAAAATAAAGTCAGATCTTTCCCAGGAATAAATGTATATTTAAAATTTTATAGTAAACATATACTTCTAAGTGAAGATTTTCCCATATTTCCAAATAAGATTATGTTCAACATACCTTGTAATCAATTTTATATTTGACCTCATTGTTTTGGTAAATACAGTTGTGAATACTGAGATACAGACTCCTTTTAAAATATTCTCCCCTTAACATGCACCTCTTTCTGAGACTGGTCAAGACAATTCGGTACAATAAGGCAGCAACATCCAGGAAGATCACCTCCCCCACATTTTTCTTTAGTTTGTACTTTTAATGCTAAAATAAAGTCTTAAAATAATCCTTTCACAAAAATAAGGCAGCTTTATGATATAAAAACAGTAGGTCTTTGTCAAAGGCTATGTTCTTCTGTCCTTATCTGCTGTCACCAACTGTCAGCATCTTCTTTAAAGATCACTTTTCTCTTCGTAGCGACACCTACACGCGGCTCGTTGGCTGTCCAGATACGGTTTACAGCCTAAATGTATAACACTGTCAAACAAGAGCTCCACTGTGGTTTCACAGGCTGCAAAGTAAGAAAGTGCTGTTACTGCCGGCAACTGCTCTCCCTCCACACATATTACACGTTACAGCACAGTGTCAGGCACATCCTTAGTGAGCACTTAAACATCTTTTGTATCAACGATCTCCCAAACCCTCACAGGCCAGAAGCACACACACACACAGACTTCCAGTGTTAGCATGTTGAGCATGTATCTACTTTTTTGTTTGCTCGCAACAGTTCATCCCTATTTTTTTCCTACAAGGCAAATGAGTCTCTCTCAATAACACAGTTCATCACAGTTCATCACGGTTACTTTTCCTTTTATCTGAAAAATACCACTAATAAAGATGCCTTAGAACACACTTAATTTTGCAGTTCAAGGGAAGATTTTTAGGTGTACAAAAAAATAAAGGTTGAAAACAGAGAAACAGGGGTGCCTGGGTGGCTCAGTGGGTTAAAGCCTCTGCCTTCAGCTCAGGTCATGATCCCAGGGTCCTGGGATCGAGCCCCAAGTCGGGCTCTCTGCTCTGCAGGGAGCCTGCTTCCTCCTCTCTCTCTGCCTACTTGTAATCTCTGTCTGTCAAATAAATAAATCTTTAAAAAAAACAAAACAAAACAGAGAAACATCAAAACATTTAATTTTGGCCAATGACTTCTATGAATTAATCACACACCATTTAAGAGGCTTAAGGTAAATGGACCCCAGTCTTTCGCTCTTTCTCAGTATCCCAATTTGGCCTGGGAAGGGAGACGTAGGAATCAGAAGTGTTTTTCTTCTGGCAGGGTTTGAAATTTTTTTTTAGGACTATAAAAAAGATAATGGATTTACTTTTCTTATTCTAAGAAGCCTGGAACAGCCAGCTGAGATAATCTTCATACACAGCACAGCACAGAATAGCTTTTAGTCATCCAAATACTCACATTAAGGAAGAAACTATTCATTGCAAAATCCTGACATTTTCAAACTTCTCCAAAAGGCTGTGCTGTTAAAAAACACAACCACCACAGAAGTGTAAAGGCTATACTTATTCAATAGGGCATTGGAAGGAACCGGCTTCATCATTTAGCCAAATGAGTATGTCCTTAGATCAGAAGACAGGAGATACATCCATGTATGCATCCACTATGCAACTAGCTTGCTCAGCCAAGAGCGTGCAAAGCATTCAGAGGCTGGGAATTCAAGCTGCAGAGACTTCTTCCTTGACAGTTACTACTAGGAATTCAGAATCTGACCCATGGCATTGTTCGGGGAATACTGCAGTAGACATAGTATGAGTTTTAAAATCGGAAGTATGCAACTTAGGACAAGTTACTTCCTGGAACTTCCGTTTCCTTCCTTGGAAAATGAGTATACCACTACCTACTTCTTTGGGTTTTTGTGAACACTGAGGAAAACAGATCTAAAATATCTAGCATGGTATCTTATGAAAAATGCTTTGAAACGCATAGTTTCCTTTCTTGCACCTTCTCTTCCAATTTCGATGTATGATAAATACTTTGGCTTGACACTGAAAAGATTTTATAACTTCTAGTATTTGTACAGTTATTTGTATTTCCACAAATGTTTTATTTTCTATCTATGCCAATTCTATGACATGGGTATTATTTTATAAATGGGCACACTGATACACCTTTTCCCTTTGCTGACTCTGCTTCATATCCCTTCGCTCTGAGTATGACTATTTGCTGAATCCTGTGAGTGCTCCTAGCAAACCTAGAGGTGGTTTTGGGGACCCTCCTGACACAGATACATATGAAGAGACAGTTAAGCGCAAACCCTCTAGAACTTCCCACTTGAAATCCTATGTGTTATACACTTAAAATCACTGGATCCAGGATTTCAAACTTCAGGCTCTCATAATTAGAAACAGACTACAGGGTACAAGATCGTGGATGAATTCTTGTCTGCCTCGCATACCCTCTTCCCAAGGTTTCCTAACACTTTTTGCTTCCACAACTATAAATCATTTGAGATGACAAAATCAACGACTCCTCATCTCAGAAAACTGAAGGGGCTGTGTCACAACAGAGAGAGTAATACACAGCGAAAGATTTCTAGTGGTACCTCCTGTAGTGAAACATAAAGCAGTCAGTAAAACCTGACAAACTGCGCTCATCTTCATCCTGCTGCATCACCCTTACCCTGAACGTGCTGAGCCAGTCCTAGTGTCTTCTGCACATCCCGGCAGATCTTAGAGAGGCAATACTGGAATTCCTCATCGCAGTCGTTCTTGCTCTTGCCGCAGGTCTCATAGCACCTGTCGTGTTGGTTACAGCACTTTGTCAGGGAAGGGATGCCAATATTAAGCTGAAAGAGGCATTTGGATGGATTATTGTTGGTGAAATTCAAAACTCCTCTGCTAAAGTAGTGCATTCAAGTAGACTTAGAAATCGAGGACGATGACTGCTGCATAACTCCCCAAATCCATTTCTGTCTACAAATGTCTTCCATGTTATTTATGCATCTGCCCGTCACTCACCCACATGCACCTACATGCTCTCCCTCTCAGCCATGCCTCAGAACTCCCTATTTTGCAATATATCCAGTTATCTGCTAGTAACAAATGTAACTTCCAATTGTCCAAAACACAAAACATAGTTTTAAGAACAGAAAGCTGAGGCTAAGAGCAAAGACTGATTTTTGGACATTCCAAAGTAGTCTGTACCTCTCCCCCTATAAAATGTACTTTACATAAAGTATCACTGAAAACTTTAAAGCTCCTACAACTTACATTTTATTTTATTGTGGTTCGACCTTTAAGTATCAATTCCCTAAAGATACTGTTCCTTCAAATCTATAAGTTATCTTTAATTGGTTTCAATAACTTTATATATAAAACCCTTATGTCCAGGAATCACTCATCAACATTTTTTTTTCACAATAATTGGCTCAGATTCAGCTTCGCCTACCAAAAAACACAGCTATCTTATTTAGATTTGCTTTAGTATAGAAAATATGCTTTATCTATACTTTTTTATCCAAAGTAGCATTACTTGTATAAATTTTTTAAACCATGCTTGTGACATGAAGAAATATCTTTTTAATAATATATCTATAAGATTAAAAAATTAAACATGAATTTTATTCCATTTGGTTTTGTTAGGACTTACTAATATGTTTTAGCTATAAAAGAATATAATAAACTCAATTACCATTATAACAAGCAAAATTATTTGTGATCCTGAGAACACAATGACAGTCTTGCATAATTAAGGGTACTACACAGTTGGGGCGCCTGGGTGGCTCAGTCAGCTGAGCGTCTGGCTCTTGATTTTGGCCCAGGTTATCTCAGGGCTGAGCTGCTGGGCTCCACACTCAGCAGGGGGTCTGCTTGAGATTCTCCCTTTCCCTCGCTATCTGCCCTTCCCCACCCTGACCTATGCCCGCTTTCTAATAAATAAATCTCTTAAAAAAAAAAAAAAAAAAGAGTACTACATAGCCTACTGATTGTAAAGCTTTTCAAATAAGAAAATAATGGTATTTACGTGAACACCAAACAGTGGAGAGCCACATCCATTCGGCGGGGAGGGTTTATAACCGTAACGTGGGAAAGGCTTAGATCCTATAAAATATAAATGGTATAATTAATTTTCAAGTATGATGAAAAACATGCAAAAAGGTCTATGATGTACTACTAGATTAGCCTTGGAAATATTTAATATTTGGGTACTGACATAAGTGAATGTCTTTATTCTAAGCCTATACTATAAAAAACATGTAAAGGCTTACTCTCGACTTCAGGAGGTTTCAAAGAGTATATGCGAGACTGGGTACATATATATGAAAGATAAATCCACCCTGTTTCCCTGTACATTCTAACACATTTTTTTGGTTAAAAACTTATAGGGCAGAACTGTATCTTCCCAACCTTCAGCCAATACTCCACTATACACAAACCTCAATAACCATTAACTAACCAGTTTACTCAAAGAGCTTAAAGCTAAGGAAGATAAGGTCACCCAATGAACATTTAATTGCCTTAATGCCATTGTAAGACATTACAGGACCACATATTCTAGCCTGGACTCCAACCAACCATTTCACAAATATACTTCTTTGCCAGCTAAGGAAAAAGGTCAGGAATAAAGATAGCTTGGTGAACCATATTACTCCAGTTTTATTCTCCCTAAAAGCACCAATGGTTCAGTAACAAGGAGAAAGATGACCTTATCACAGCAATCTTAACTGCTGCAAAATACTTCAAAAATATCTCTCCTCATGAAATATATACGTCGCTTCAAGATACCAAACAGTCACCTACTTTCTCTTGAATGTTTCCCACGATCCTCCTACAGCATCAAGAAAGAGCCTATTCCATTGTGGAATGGCACTAACTGTTAAATTCTTTCCTGTTTTCTTTTGAGCAATCCTCTACCCCTGGGGAACACAAAACAAGCCAATTACCTATTTTACATGAGCAATCCTCCCAACATCTGGGACTCCCATTTATCTTCAATTCGAGAAGCAAAACATCCCGTTATTCCAAATTATCTCTCTCCAGAGTTCCTTATTTAGGAAAAACATAAAGTATCCACCAACTTTCAGGCAACTATTTATCACTAGAAGACCAAAGATAAGTTTACCCTCCAAAAGTACAGTGGGGTGGAGGGGGGACAAAAGCAGCTCTTCCAGTAATCAACCACCAAAATAAGTAATCAACTCAAAGTAAGGATCTAAAAATGGTTTAAGTGAGGTGCTAAGACTCACATGCTTGACTGAAGTGACAACTAGAGCCTAAAGAGAGTGTAACCTCAAGAAGATACAAAGCTTTAGCCTGCTCCACCCAGTCTGAAGAGTAGTACGGATGAAGAGAATGGTTATGATGGATCGAGGAATGAGGAGGTCAATGACAGAAGTTGGTCTTGCTTCTCCAGCACTGTTCAAGAAGGATGGTTGTTTCTAGGCCCTTGGAAAATGAAGGTACATGCCTCAAGCTATCACAGATGAGTCACTGTGATCCTTCACCTCCTGCTTTTGGTCCTTCATTCTTAAGAAAATTGTTTATGATTTGGCTTTCCACTTAATAGGGCCCAAAGAGGGAGGATATACTAACCACCTGGGTACCTCATGGGTACCGCAAACTTTAGAGGTACCTCCTGAAATTCATCCCGAAGCCTGCTCCATCCATAGTTCCATCTTCTCAGATAAAAGCAACTCCAACATTCCCAGCGCTCAGGAAAAAACCTTAGCCATCTTTAATTCTCTCATTTTCTTATATCCCACATCCATTCCACAGCATGTCCTGCTGACTCTACCTTCAAAATATCCAGCATCTAATCACTTCTTCCCAACTCCAACACTACCATCCTGCTCTAAGCCACCATGGATTTTTGCCATAACCTCCTAATAACTCCCTACTTCACTTTTGCCACTCCACAGCACCCCCACACCACCTCTAGCCATCATCTATTCTCAACACTGAACCTGAGTGATCCTATTAAAATGTTAGATCACGTTTTTCTTCTGTCAAAACCCCTCTAATGGCTTCTCACCTTATTCAGAATAAAAGCCCACATTCCCTTCCAAGGTCTAGAAACTCTATATATAAACCACCACACAACACACCATGACTTCTCTGACCTCATCTTACTATTCTCTCTCCTCTTCCTCACTTCAATCCATCAAATCTGACTTCTCCATTATTCCAGACACTCCAAGTCTGCTCCTGCCTTAATGCCACTCAACCTGCTATTCTTCTATGTGGAGGCTCTTCCTTTACGTTCTCAGCAATGCCTTCTCTGACCATACCATATGTAGCATGAGTAACTGTCAAACATATTATATTATTAACCTACTTATTTATTATCTGTCTCCTCATACTAAAATATAAACTCCGTGATGACAGGAATTTCTGTTTTGTACCTTCAAAGACTTGAACACTGCCCAGCGTGTGGTTAGGTTATCAATAAATATTTGTTGATGAATGAACGGATAGCCAGGTGACTTGGAAGGCAGTTCTAATATTCATTATAAATAAACTGGTACTGACGCTTATCCTTCAGTCTCCTTTAAGTTTGGCAAGCATTAATCAACCTCCAAAGCTTGATCATTTCTCGTTTGTCACATCTCTTTAAAATGTGCCATCCCAAACTGAACACCAGTAGGTGTGATGGGCCTATTTTGAAGTAGATAAAGTCTTGTATTAACAGCGCCCAAGACAGTTAGCATATATTTTAGCTATGTCTCAGTACTAAGATACATTGGACAGTAGGAAAAAAACATCAGTTCTTTCTAAAATAAACTCTATCTACTGCTAGACACTCAGCATCTCTACAGCTTACATTTTGAGCCTAAATATTAGATGATGTATCAGAGCTACTACCCCCTGAAATTTGTAAGCCAATACAGGAAGCTAAGAAAAAAATGAAGAGATGAATTTCAAAAAACAAACCAAATCCACTGGGTACAACTACATGGAAATACTATTCATTGATTCTACTTGTTGACTTAGGCAAATGCTCCTCTCTTGATGCTTTGTTTTAGCATCAGTATGGACAGATAAAATTTAAAGATTTGCCTGGACTGAGGTAACGACAGATCTTTTCTATACATTTTTTTAGAAATTTGATGTAAATACTTCCAAACAGACCAATTTCTTTCACGTGAATGACACTGAAGTCGATGGGAAACAGATAGGGAAGGCTGTTGGGACAAAGACCTTAGCACTATACTTTATAGGAAATGCAGTGTAGAATTCAAACAGCTTTTCCAAACACTTGAGGTTTTAATTCATGAATTAATCTCCAGAGGGCCCTTGTGCTACTTTATTTTTCTAGTTCACTCGCTCTACTTTCCTCAAATGTCTAACACCTCCATTCCCATCTTCGTTCTTAGCTGATGACCTTGATTCCTACTTCACTGAGAAAACTGTGAAGTAATGGGAAGAGAACTCAGACATCTATCCACCTAATCAGCATCTGTGCCCCTATCCCCTACCTTTGTTCCTATTAACAGGGATAGGCCATCTGTGCTCTTGACCAATTTATTTATGCACTGGAACCCACTCCTCTCACTTACCTAAGGAACTGACTCCAATAATTCTTCATTTCTCCCTCCACAGTGTTTTCATTCTCTACTGAATCATTCTCAAAAGCATACAAATATGCTACTATTTTTCCTAATGACTTTCTTCCATGGTCTGCCCTATTACAGTTAAGGACAACCCCATCCTTCCAATCATTTAGGCCAATTTAGTTTTGGAATCATTTTTTACCCTACTCACACCTTCCTTCTGAGCTATCCGCAAATCGTTCAGGCTCTTCCTTCAAAATATATCCCTAAATCCAACCCCTTCTCACCACCTTTCTTGCTTTGAACCTGGACAAAACCACCACCATCTTTTGTCTGAATTCCTGCCCCTGTCACTCTGCCTTCGTTCTTGCTCTCCCACCTCCCTGGACTCTTATCCTCTGCACAAGAGCCAAAGGAATCCTGTTAAAACATGTATCACTGAAGGAGCTACTTATTCATAATTCTAAAACACTTTACAAGCCAATTTTGTTTTCTATTTTTCAAAAGAAATCAAGGTTTTCTTTCTCAAATCTTCTTTGCAGTTGGGGAAAAACAAGTTAAGAAAAAAAAAAGTGACCATGTAATTTGTTCCTCTAAGAAACTTTACTTCAATCTCAATAAAGTGTTCTTCCCACCCCAGGGAGGATGGCCAGAAGGGAGCAAGTCTCCATAAAGCTAATCCTTTTGATAAAACAAAGATAACTGAATTCAACCAGGCTGTGCCCTTTAATCTGATCATCCTCTCCCTACTACCAAGTCTTTTTTTAAGTTCCCTTTAACCTCTTTACTGCAACTATTGAACACCCCTTAATTGCCATGCTCCTCTAGCTTTGGGATTTGTCTGTTTGTTTGGTCCTGATTTGATCATTGGCATTCCAAAATACCGGAAAGGTTGAAATAGGGTTCCAGGGAGACTTCTCAAGTAATAGCAATTAAAGAACAATATTCATTATGTTGGAATTATCAACATGGTGACTTGGAACCACAATTCTATGAGCCCGACAGCATTACAAAGACACAAAAGGATGCTCACTGAAGCATACCATTTCCTAAACTCTCAAGTTCATTTATGCTGGAGATCTTCCTTGAGACTCCACATGGTAAATTTAGTGAGGCTTGTTGAAGATAAAAAGGGTTAAGTAAAATAAAACATCAAAGTCATCTTTATTAATAGGAACAGTATCCATTCAACGACAGAGCTATTTCGAATATAAATAAACTCTAGAAACCCTGATTCATCACAAGTTTATGAAGATTGCTTATTGAAGATGTAAGCCTTTCCTATCTCAGTAAATGGCAACCACATCCTTCCTTTGGCTCAGGCCAAAATCTTCGGAGTCATTCTTGACTGGCTGTTCTCCTACGTCCTTGTCACTGGCCATTCCCTCTGCCTGGAGTGTTTTATCCCCAGATCATCACAGTGTCACCTTCAGCATTTTCAGATTTCTTCTCAAATGCTGTCTTATCAGTGAGACCTTCCCTGAACAACTTATTTAAATGAGGAAACTGCCTCCCAACACCATCACTGTTTTTACTATAATTCTCAAAACACTGCCATACTTCAGACCTACATATACTGCATTTTGGGCTTATTTTACTTATTTTTTAGTTTACTGTCTCTCCCCACCAAAATGTAAGTCCCATGGACAGGAATTTTGTGTTCTGTTTACTGCTGAATCTCCAACTGGTAGAACACTTGAGACGTAACAGGCACTCAAATATTTGTATAATGAATGGGGATGACTAAGTAAAATGATGACATCCGCCTCAGGAAAGGCAATATTTAATTTTCAAATAGTTCACTTACTCCTCCTAACAAGCTCTACAAGGACAAAAACATCCTTCCCCATTGCATACTGGTCGTTAACATTTAGGCATAAATTTAGGAAGGAAACATTTAGCCCTTCATAGCACATGAGCTATGGCTCATTCTTTAGCTCCATTAACATAAAACTAGAAATTATTTTGAGAATTAAAGGCAGCAAATGGCATCACAGTTTTACATGACACAGATTTCTTTTAAATTCACCTACATGCCATCTGGTTTTACTGGTCACCGAATTCCCTATTGCTTTAAGCTGCCAAGCATTAAATGAACTAGGCCCCAACTTTGTCTACTCTTATTGGAAACCTGATTTTCCAATCAAAATCTTAACATTTTGAATTTCCAAAGAGAAGCCTGGGTACTTTATCTGAGCTGCTACAATATTTAAACATTCAGAAAAAGCAAGTACTTGAAAAGAAAGATATCTGCTAAGACACTGAGTTTATTATTACCAAAAATGCCACCGAACAAGTTCTCAGATTCAAAAAGAACTAAAGTTAAAAAATATGAAAAGCAAATCAAAACAATTACTAGTATTAACCAACAATGGAGAGGAAGTGTCACTATCAAGTCGTGATAGACAATTTCTGGAAGAGTTATCAGAACTCTTTCTCAACAAAAGAGTACACCAAAACTCTGTACAAAGGTCGCAATTTATTTTCTGTAGCCCTGCAGGAAAAGAAAACAATTAAAAGCAATTCTTAAGAAAAGTAAAACGTCATGATTAAAATTCTGTCTATTCTCCATGTTCGGCTGACTAACGGCGCTAAAATATGGGGCTAAAATCGGTCTGTTCCGCTCCAGTCCCACGATGCGTACGTCACAAAATTCTGAGGCAACTTCGTGCAACAGCAAAAGAAAAAGGGAGAGAGAAAAAGAAAAGGTAGTAATTCAAAAGCAATGAAAACAGGTGGGAGTGTACACCTCCTGTGACCGCTTATATTCTAACAATAGTGGTGCGAATTTCTAACCTGATTGCTCAATCACAAGAATGCTAAGACTCTAGCAGTGGTTAAGTTTCTCCACAGCTAGACGACAACGTCAAGGTCTGCCTTGCATCCCACACCTCCACGACCTCGGTCCCCGCAACATCTAGAAAGCGAGGGCCTCGCAGGGCCTGGGCTCCCTCTCACCGTCATTGCACTTGTACTGGCAGAGCCCATCCTCGCCTCCAAGGAGTTCCAAGGCGGCGTTCAGGTACGTGTCTATCTTGTGAACGCCGTTCCGGATGGTTTTCAGCGTGGCCCGCCAGTCGGTAGTCTGGGCCTGCTCCTGGCACCTGTGAGCGGCAGGCACGAAGAGGAGGACAACGAAGGCGAGCGCGTGCCGCGGGGGCAGGGCCATCCGCGCAGCACCGGGCCGTGCCCCCACAGAGCCCACAGGGGGCCCTAGGCAGCAGCGTCAGCCCGGGGCTCGGCGTCCCCAGCCGCCTCCATGCCCACGCCTCCTTCCGAGCTAGTAGGCGGGGCCTCACCGTCCTTGCTCAGCTCTGGCGGGGAGGCGGTGCTGTCGCGAAGACGCGCGGCATCGCGCACGCGCTGGCCTGGCCCTGCGGCCCCTACTGTGCGCTTGCGCGCAAGCGTGGTGCGTCAGAGGCCGGCGAAGCGGGAGCTCAGAGTGGTGGCGAGGAGCTCCTCGTCCAAGCCGTGCCCACGGAGCTCCTCCGCCCGGGCTCTATTTAGTACTGTCTGAGGGGACAGCCAAATGAAGAGCCCCACTTGACCTGTCAAGGTTCGGTCCAGCAATCGCCATCACTCCCCACCCCACCCCCGTACCTAGGGACAGGCTTTTATGGGTGTGGACGCCGTGGGAAAAACGAGTTCCCCTAGCCCCTTACAGAGAGCGCTGCGAGGGGTCCAGCTATGTTTCGGTTTGAGGACGCGATTCTGCGTGACGCGTGGACCCCCTCGCGTGCTTTCGGTTGTCGTGGCTGGGGGAACGGGAGCCGGACCGGTCAATCCAAGGGCGAGATGGTCCCTGAATGGCTAACATGAGCTAGATAGAGCCTCATTTACAAATTCTGAAAGAAAAAAAAAAAAAAAGGAAATTCTGAAAGAAAACCGTTTGACAAAAACTATGAGTTTTCTTTCCTGATAAGGAAGAAACGGTACTCTACACTTGAATACAGTTTTTTAAAAAATCTTAATTGGAAATCACTATTTTCGTGCTCACCATATTTTGTAATTTGAGAACTCTGGTGAAATTTCTCATTATTTTTTCCCCTGCGCTGTGCAGAATACTTAAATAATAATTGCAGTAGTGTTTTTTGTTGTTTTGTTTTTATTTTATTTTATTTTATTTTATTTTTTTAAAGATTTTATTTATTTGACAGAGAGATCACAAGTAGGCAGAGAGGCAGGCAGAGAGAGAGGAGGAAGCAGGCTTCCTGCTGAGTAGAGAGCCCGATGCGGGGCTCGATCCCAGGACTCTGAGATCATGACCTGAGCCGAAGGCAGCGGCTTAACCCACTGAGCCACCCAGGCGCCCCTATTTTATTTTTTTTTTAACCAGAGTTATAAATAATCTGGTTGTGTTAGTATCCCGGAAATTCTAAGAATTTTACAGTAAGATTCCAGGGCAATATTGCAAGTGTTGGGAATAGATACATCCTTTCTTATTAAAATTACCAATAAATTCTAGTTTGGTGTTTTGTGTTTGACACAAGCTTCCTAAGTGTAAGAAATATGCACTAAAGAGTTCCTTTAAAGAGTGAGGGTATCCTGTCAAAGCAGGGGCTATTTCTACCTTCATGAGTTGCCAAAGATTTTTTTTTTTCTTCATTTTTGGACAGCGCATTTAAAAACATTCAGAAAAGGGAACACAGAATTTTTAAAAAAAAAGTTTTCTGGAGCATTGGTTTTCTCATCTCTAAAGTGTGGGTGTTGAATGAGATTATCTCTGAGGTCCCACCTAATTCCACCACCCAAAACCTTAAACCAGTTTTGGTTCTTTCAAGTCTTCAGAGAAACTCTCCCATATGTGAGTAAATATTCCACAAGAAAAGAGAGGATGTTGTAACACCATTCCAACCCTCAGTTACTGAAGCCCCGAAGGCTCTCCTTTTTTCCTTTTCTCTATACATTTACTCTTTGGTGATCTCATCTAATTTCTTATACCTTAACTACAGCCTCTGCTCCGAAGATTCAGTCTGCTCTCTCTTCTCTTTGGAGATTAAATTCTCAAACTCCAGTTCCTTGGACTGATAGGGTTGTTCTCATTTTCTTTGAAACAAATTTCTTTTTCTACTGTGTTCCCCCTAGGAATCACCACCATCTTTCCAGAAAAAGATTCTAAGTTTTATTTTTACATTTACTTCATATTCAATCATTAGATATTTGTTGTTCTGCTGCAGTAATTCCAAGATTTACTTTTCCCCCTTAATTCCTGCTGCCGGATAATAGAGTCTGGCATTGACTATAGGACCAGCTACATAACTTGCAGGGCTCAGTACACAATAAAAATGAAGGGCTCCTTGTTCAAAAATTATTAAGAATTTCAAGAGGGGGGCGCCTGGGTGGCTCAGTGGGTTAAAGCCTCTGCCTTCAGCTCAGGTCATGATCCCAGGGTTCTGGGATCGAGCCCCACATCGGGCTCTCTGCTGGGCAGTGAGCCTGCTTCCCTTCCTCTCTCTCTGCCTGCCTCTCTGCCTACTTATAATCTCTGTCTGTCAAATAAATAATAAGTAAAATCTTAAAAATAAAAAAGAATTTCAAGAGGATGACAGTATTAGAGAACATTAAAGCAAATACGAAACATTTCTGAGTTCAGTGCCTTGTACATCGACACAGGATTCATGGCCATGAAGCCAGTCCTGACAGGTGATATCATGTAACTTCTAGAAGACCCCTTCCATCCTTTCTTCCTAATAGCATAAATGGTTTGAGAAGAGCCTTCTTTACAGGGCACTTTCATCTAATCAATAAAACTTGTTATTATTGTGACAGACACTGTTGGTTGCAAACCCACAACTTCCAGGTCTTTTCTGCTAGCATAAGGCTAGGTTGTCTAGATATAATTTGACTGGATGGGCAGGAGCTGAAGCCAGGAAGCCAGTAAGGATGTTAACAAACCAGGTAAGACATTATTATGACTTGGCCTAGGGAAGGAGAATGGAGGTGTGAAAGTGGTCACATTCTAGATATAACCTGATGGTAGAGCCAACAGGAATTACTGTTGGATTGAGGATGTTATACGAGCGAAGGAGGAATCAATGACCTTGAGGTTTTGGCTTTAGCACTTAGGATAGTGAGTTCTCACTAAATGACATGGGGAGGATTTCAGAAGAAGCAGATTTCAGGGAAAATTTAGAACATTAATTTTGGACATACCATGTTTGAGAAGCTTATTCTGAATTTGTACTTCAGAGGTGGGATAAGGACTAGAAATTTAGTTGAAGTCCTCAGCATAGAAATGACTTTTAAAGTCATGGGACTAGAAGAGATCCTCTAAAACAGGAGTATGTAGAGAAGCAGGACTAAGTCTAAGTCATAGAAGATTGGGGAACTGAGAAGTGGCAAAAGAGGCTCAAAAGGGGCATCCAAGTGCAACAAGAGAGTGCTTTATTGCAGTGTGTCTAGGAAAAACAGAACCATCCATTTGGCTGGTGTAGAAGAAGATGAGGACCTGATACTGATTGCTGAATTTAATAACATGGAGGTCAAGGTGAACTTCACAGAAAACTTTCATGACAAGACACATGTGTAGTGAGAGGAGAGAAAAAAAAAGGAAGAAGAATTGGAAAAAGCAGTTTTGGTCAGTATTATCAAAACAAAATTATGAAAATATAAAAGATGCTATATTTGTGCTGATTCTTGTCTACATGATACATGTGCCTTGGAATGTGGTCTTCTGGGTGGCTGAGACTAGGCTGTGTTTTCTCTGCAGAGCTTTCCAGTCCAGTTATAAGCATAGTCAGGCAGATACACCTTCTGGAAACCCCGAATGGTCGTTTCACTGTCATGGACGTCAAGGAATGTGATGATATTATTAATGAGTGAGAATGCCAAATGTATTGGGTTTAATGTAGTGTACTAACCCAGAATGCTTGGAGAGTGGAATCCTCTCTGTGTTATTTAAAACAATACAAAATCAACAAAATACAAATGACCAGGGGCAGTTTCTATTTGTTAGTCTTTTGCAGTGCCTCGTTAAATGGCCTGAGCTGTATTATTATGATGAAAATAAATGACACGTGGTGAAACCATTCCAGCCTTAATGATCAATCTTTGCCCAGTGTTAAGGCTGGAACACTGGTTTCTAAACAGGGCTCAATTTAAGGGGAAAAAAGTGCTAGTTTCCACCTTCTGCCTTTAAGAAAAATAAAAAATTAATAGCATGAATAGCTTTCAAACCAGGGACAAGGGGAAGGACAAGAGATGGCTGCACCAGATCTATAAGCACGCGTTGGTTCCATGATATATTGAAAATAACGGCTTTCCATTTCAGGTGTTCTGTCATCAGGCAAATTTGATCAGTGTTTTAGTCTGCTTGGGCTACTGTAACAAAATACCACAGACTAGGTGACTTATAAACAGCAGAAGTTTATTTCTCAGACCTGTAGAGGTTGGCGGTTCAAGATCAGGGTGCCGGAGTGATCAGGTTCTGGACAGGACTCTCATCCAGTTTGCAGACAGCTGACATCTGCATCCTCACATGATGGAGGATGGGTGGAATTTCTGGGGTTTCTTTTATAAAATACTAATCCCCATTATAAGGCCTCCACCCTCATGACCTAAGCACCTCCTGAAGACCCCACTTCCTGATACCATCACACTGGGCATTAGAATTTCAACATGAGTTTTGGAGGAACAAAACATTAAAAGTACAGCAATCAGGGAGGAGATTTTCAAGTGATCTTTGGGGGTAGAATGTAAGATTACTCGGCATGCAGAGAGATGTGCTGGGTAGGATGGAAAGGAACCTACCTGGGTATGACTGCAGGGTTTTAAACCTTCAGGCTAAATTCAGCTGTGTGGTCTCTCTAGGTTGGATTTCTGGTTATTTCCAAACCTCTGACTGATTTTCAGTTTCATATCTCCTGCTGCATGCTATATACATCTTTCCTGGGTTCCCACAGACCTCACAGCTTCAAAATATCCTTCACTAATGAAACCACCTTCTCTTTCTCTGTTTCCTTTATTTCTTTAATCAATGGCAACAGCAATCATCTCATTATCCAAGAGAAAACTTGGGAGTTATTCTAGGCTCATATCCCTCTTTTTAGTGCCCTGTTCTCTCTTTCTGTCCCCAGCTGCCATCTATTTCACTCCTTAATATATCTGGGATCGGTGTCGTCCTCTTTAAAAGTGTCCTGCTGTAGTTTCCACTTTCACCATTTTTCATTTGGATGGTTCCAACAGTCTCTTAAATGTCTTTCTTACCCCATCTCACCCCCTCCAATACATCTTCCTCAATGCCTCCACGGCGAACTTCCCAAAGTCTTTCAGTGGTCCC